CTTACTCACATCGTGAAGGTGGCGCAGCTGAATAGGATTATTATTTAATCTATGTAAATAGTTTATTTTTTAGATATTTATTTTGTACAGTTACCACAGTTTGTTAATAAATGTGCCTGTGTGACAACTGGGACAAAGCTTTCACTCATAAATATATTTTTGTTATTACTTTCTGGAAAGAAAAAAAAATTGAGATATATATCGTATATCGCGATTTATCTTAAAAATCTTGAGATATTAATTTGGTCCATATCGTCCAGCCCTACTGGTAAATACTGACCCAGGACTTAGTCAACAAAAGTCTTTAAAAATACACAAATAAAAATACTGCATATTCCCTAAAATGTTCCTTTAGCTCAGCTTTTTGCTTCACACATGAAATGAGGTTGGATTAAATGAAAATGCCTCCTGTCTTTCAAACACAACCAGCTTTGGTTTATGGCGCTAAAGAAAAAGGAAAACCACAACAACAACAAGCCTGGGTTTTATATCAGCTGAAGTTTATGAGCATCAGAATTCAACACATTTAGTTTTACTGCTGCTACAAGACAAACCCAGACTGCAGATAATTATGTCACAGACTTCTTGTGTGATCTGGTTGGACAAGATGTTTCCCCACACACATACACACACACACACCCACACACGCACACACACCAATTCACGGTCCAGAGGTGGCATGGTTTCAGGGTTAAACATTGACCTGAAGGAGTTTCGTAGGAACCTGCAGTTCAACATCCTGTGTTGTGTTGTGTGTGTGTGTGTGTGTGTGTGTGTGTGTGTTGTCTCCTTTAAACAAAGGGAGCAGCAGTTTAAAAATATATCTGTTGTCTTAGTGTTGTGTTTTTCTTAAACTAGTTTGTTTTATTGCTTTATTTTAGTTTTACCTGTTAAAAACCAAAGTTCATCTTAAGTTAGCAGATCCTTTTAGAAGTCCATATATCTAAGTATATACTTTCTTTTTTTTTTTTTACAATATATACTGTATAAATATTTTTTTTCAGTTAGTCTTCAAATGCATTATGTATTATATGTATATAGTAATATATAGTGAGGTGTATATATATGTATTATTATGTATTATTTATGTAACATACATTTTTTTACAAAAAAATATTGATCAAAACTTTTTTTATGATGTAAAATATTTTGGTTTTAGAAAAAAAGTGTTATTTTTCTGAAATTTTTTTTTACTTCATGGTTTCATTTTCACAGTAACAACGTTTTGTTTTAATTTCGTTTATGTTTATCTTTTTTCTTTAAATATATTACAAAATTTTATGTAATCTTGGAACAATTTTAATATTTTTTATTACAAAAAATGTATATGGCCAGTAAGTTATAATTTTTTTCTATAGAAAAATGTATTTATAATTACGTTATTAAACAACATACAGACCACACCCCTTTTGTTTAGCTCCACCCCTGTTTGTGTAGCTCCACCCACATACTTCAGCCTATTGTATAGTGTCTTTTAGCTGCAAACACAGAAACGTCTGCGTGCGTGTGTGCATGTTTTGCTGCGTCTGTCTTCATTTCTGATTTTTCTCCGAGTGGACTGATGTATAAGCATGCGGCGAGGGAGAGGTGCATGCTGGGATTGTTCAGGCATTTGGGGGTGGATTGTGGGAGAGGACGAGCAAGGTGGGTTTCCTCTAAGAGACACGAAGTGAGAGGAGAAACGAGAGCATGATGGTTAATGAGTGACAGAATGAGTTGACCGTGGGACATTTTGGTTTAAATGTTTCTTCGGCGTTACAGAAAACAGTTTCTAAATAATTCAAGAATTCAAACGTGTGTGAACGGAACAAACCGGTTTTATTTTTCTGGATGGAAGGAAACAGAAAAATGCGGTGTGGATTTTCATGTTTTACTGAGGAAAACAGTTTAAAATGTGCAGCGACGCTTCAACTTTCAGACTTTCTGAACGTCACATGATCAATGGAATAATGAATTGTAAAACTGTTTTCTGTCTCAACAGGATCTATATCAATATTTTCAAGTAGGTTTGCTTGTTAAAATCAAACAGAACACAAGTGATTCAGCATTTTCACAACTCGTTTAAAACTGAAACTGAAGCATTCAGAAAACTTGAAGAAAATAAAGTCACCACCTGCTGGTAAATCTTATTCACTTTACGGATAAAAGGTAAAATTTTAACCCTGTGGTGAAATTCACTCTTTTATTAATATGTAAGCAATCTGCCAGGCTTTTCTAATTATAAGACAAAGTAGGATACGGTTTAAATGCTATTATCATTTAGGCTTACCGTATTTTTCGGACTATAAGGCATACCGGATTATAAGGCTCACTGTCAATTTTTGAGAAAATTAAATGATTTTAAGTGTGCCTTATAGTCCGAAAAATACGTCATTTAATTACCAGCTCAAGAAAAAGGTGTTTTGGAGAAATGTTTGCTGATAGAACTGGAGTCTGAAGAAAACAAACTATAAAGAATGAAAAAGGTCCTGATTCAAAATGCTTATCATTGACTTTTCTCATTTAATACGGCTGTGCCCACATATTGGCAAAATTTACTCTTCCGTCTTCTACAATGAGTTTTATTTAGCTTGTAACTCCTTTAAATGTCCACGAGTAAACGCCAATTATCAGTAATTCTGATTATTTCAGGGGTTCTCAAACTTTTTGAGTTCAGGGACCCCTTACAGGGGAGAAAAAGTTTCAGGTACCCCCTCATAACCCTCATGTTTATTAAATTATTTTCTTCAATTGGTCTCTTTAATGCAATGGAAATATTTGTGTAACAAATACTTAAGACCTGTTCTTAAATAGTGTTAATACATTTTTTATGTTTTTAAACATGGGGTATTTTCATTCAAGACACACTTAATTAAAAACATTTTTAATTTCATCTTCCAAAGATTACAACTTTGAGAAAATCAACTGTATCAGAAACCAATTTAAAACTTTACCTATTCACATAATGAACATAATAAATTTATTACCATGTCTTCAAATTATTACAGAAAACTCTTTACACAAAACTGAACAGAATCATAACAGCAGTAGTCATACCAAGCAACAGGGCTTAATTTGTAAACAGATTAATGCCGGAACACAAATAGTGGGCGGGCTGACGAGGAGGGGTCCTCCCCCAGAAAATTTTGAATAAAATAAATGCGATTTCCTGAATTTTGGTGTATTTTATAGGGATGTTAAACATCTACTTGCTTGTAAAAATATATTATATATATATAATATATTATATATATATAATATATATATATATATATATATATATATATATATATATATATATGTGTGTGTGTGTGTGTGTGTAAAAACAAAAAAATTTTTACGGACCTCCAATCACTTGCTCGCGTACCCCCGAGGGTCTGGGGATCACAGTTTGAGGACCACTCATTTATAGAGTTCTGCGACAATTTCATACCAACAACTTTCTGTTATCACAACATACTACACATATTTGTATTTGTGCAACTGAAGTTAAATCCCATCCATCCATTATCTTTACCTGCGTCTAACTTTTTGGGTCTTGGGGTTCGCCATGTCCAGCCATCGCTGTGCGAGAGGCGGGGTACACCTGGACAGGTCCATCACAGGGACATAGAGACAAACAACCATTCACTCTCTCACTCACACCTAGAGATAATTTAGAGTTACCAATCAGCCTAACATGCATGTTTTTGGTCTGTGGGAGGAAACCGGAATATTCGGAGAAAACCCATGCATGCACAGAGAGAACATGCAAACTGCACACAGAAAGGCCCCCGGCTGGGATTTGAACCAGGATGACCTGCTTGCTGAGAGGCAGCAGCTCTACCAGCTGAGCCACCGTGCTGCCCTAAATCAGAATCAGAATGAGCTTTATTATCATTGTACCGAGATACAGCTAGAATATGTCTGTACACATGTAAAGATGGGCGGAGTGCACGTAGCTGCTGCTCTTTGAGAGCGCGGCCTCTTATCCTTTTCAGAATACTTTTAGATAGAAATGGGGAAACGTTAAATTATTCAATAATAATCTACGAAATACCAAAAATAAATCTTACTGAACAGTTTGTACTCGATTCTGAAAGGAGATGAAAACACCTAAACATCAGAACTTTCATTTTCACAACTCAAGCCTCATACAGACAGCTGATGATTAACAACTTTATTCTAGTGTTTTTGGTTTCAGGGAATTTATTTAAATTTTTTTAGCTAAATATATTCATTTCAGGCAATTTTAATCTTTAAAAATTGTTTTTTATTTAGCGTTTCCTCAGTGGTCCTCTTTTTATTCTGCTTGCAATTCAGCTTTTTTTTTTTAATTCTTTTGTATACTGTTTTTTATAATGTAGCCGTTTTTGTTTTGTTTATTTATATAATTTTCTTACATTTATTTTTCAATTCATACGCTGTTTTTATGAGTGTCTACTGTTGTCATGCACTCTTTGTTAAAATCAGGTCTCGCTTGTAAATGAGTCCTCGAGGCTCAGTGAGACTAACCTGTATAAATAAAAGGTTGAATGAAAATTCCCCATCATGTTTCTAGTTGTATATATATATATCCGTATATATTTAATATGAACAATAACCGTCTGTGTTCCTCTGTGTGTCTGCAGAGCCCAGCCTGTACGGCTCTGAGAGTTCAGGACTCCAGAATCAAACCAACAGTCAAAGTAAGATATCTCATCACTCATCATATTCAGGAACAACCGTCATCACTGACCTCTTCCTGTTTTATCAGATGCCACCTCTCCCGGCGCGTATGGAGTGGGCGGAGCGCCAGGGGGCGCTGTGGGGTCTCCAGGACCAAAACGCACAGGCTCTGGGACTGGAAACACCCTGAAGGTGAAATATGCTTAAGAAACATAAAATTAGTATTTGTTAATACTTCATTAGTGGTAATTAGTATGTTTTCTGCTTTTAGAAGTGCCTCACGGAGTACTGGTGCTTCTCAACTGGTATTTAATTTGCAGTGTAATTGTTTGTTCCAGCGCTGGTTGACCAGTCCTGTTCGAAGACTCAGTCAAGGAAAAGCTGACGGACAGAAAAAGCCTCCAATCAGGACCAGGAGGAGGGAAAACAAATCAGAGTTGGCCACGCCCCTTATGGGCAACTCACAAGCGGTATATAAACACAAGTGTGAACACAAAACCCCAGAGGTGCACAAAATACTAAAATCAAACAAGACAAATAATTGTCCGTTTCTGCAGAAGGCAAGGAAGGAGGAGGCGGCGCAGAGTGGAGGGGAGGAGGAGCCTGAGGAGGAAAGCCACACCCCTCTACCACCTCCAATGCAGATTATCAAAGACCCCAATAACCCAGAGGTAACAAGTTTAACTCTATTATATATATATATATTTGGACTTTTTATGGCCCATTTCTTATCCGTGCAACAAGTGAAACGGTCAGATGGTCTGAGATGCTTCTTGGTTGAGAATAAATCACACTTTAATGTCATCTTTTTCGTTTGTGCCTCTACAGGCTCTAGATTCAGATCAGGGGTCGAATGAGTCGGACACTGAACAGAGAAACAAAGCCCTGAGGGGACGAATGTAAGACAAGCACAAAGATTATTAGAATAACCCAAACATGAACTGAACATAATCTGTGATTCTCTGCAGGTTTGTCGTTAACGAGATGATCCAGTCAGAGAAGGACTACGTGAAAGACCTGGGAGTGATAGCTGAGGTGATTTAAATACCCTAATTTTATTAAACACCCCCAAAGAGACATTTACTCACCTACAAAACGGTTCTCGTCTCTCAGGGCTTCATGTCTAGGCTGGAGGTCCGAGGGATTCCAGAGGACATGAGAGGAAAAGATAAAATCGTCTTCGGTAACATCCAGCAGATCTACGACTGGCACCGCGAGTACGTTATTCGAACACATAAAACCACTCAAACACGCTTTAATATGAAAACACCGTCCTGTTCACTGTTTGTTTGTGCTGCAGCTTCTTCTTGGTGGAGTTGGAGCGCTGTGTCCAGAACCATGACCTGTTGGCCGACCTCTTCATCAGACATGTGAGTTCTACAGGCAAACACCATACAGGGGCACAGTGACTCAGTAAGGACAGAGTTTACAGGGTGAAACTGGGACTTCAGTCTCAATAAATGTGGATTAGGTGGTCTACATCATTCTAGATCTTAAAACTTGTAGGAACCGACAGGGACTTTGAGTATGAACATTCTGGTCTTATTGCAAGACTTCAATTGAGATTTTGTCCTGACGCTGAACTTTCTGGTCTTCACTTGATGATAGACTTAGAGCGTAATGATCTTGATTAATTAAATGTTTTGCTCTTTCTTAAGGATTTTCCAGTCTTGAACTTTGTGGTCTCATCTTAGCCTCAGTTTGGGGCTTGACTCTGAGCTTGACTTTGAACTAAACCTTGGCCATCATACCATATCATACCATATCATATCATACCACTTTATTTATAGAAACCAAAGGGCTGGACAGTAGAAATAACAAGCAAAGCACACAGTAAAACATAAAATAAAGTAAAATAAAAATATACACTGCCTGGCCCAAAAGAGAGTCGCCACCAAAAAAAAAGGTCACACACTAATTTTTCGTTGGACCGCCTATAGCTTTGATTACGGCATGCATTCTCTGTGGTATTGTTTTAATAAGCTTCTGCAATGTCGCATGATCTATTTCCATCCAGTGTTGCATAAATTTTTCACCAAGATCTTGCATTGATGATGGCAGATTCTGACCACTGTGCCTAAGATTCTCAATGGGGTTAAGGTCTGGACTCTGTGGTGGCCAATCCATGTGTGAAAATGATGTCTCATGCTCCCAGAACCACTCTTTCACAATTCGAGCCCGATGAATCCTGGCATTGTCATCTTGGAATATGCCCTTGCCATCAGGGAAGAAAAATATCCATTGATGGAATAATCTGGTCATTCAGTATATTCATGTAGTCAGCTGACCTCATTCTTTGAGCACATACTGTTGCTGAACCTAGACCTGACCAACTGCAGCAACCCCAGATCATAGCACTGCCCCCACAGGCTTGTACAGTAGGCACTAGGCATGATGGGTTGCATCACTTCACCTGCCTCTCTTCTTACCCTGATGCACCCATCACTCTGGAACAGGGTAAATCTGGACTCATCAGACCACATGACCTTCTTCCATTGCTCCAGAGTCCAATCTTTATGCTCCCTAGCAAATTGAATCCTTTTTTCCGGTTAGCCTCATTGATTAGTGGTTTTCTTAAGGCTACACAGCTGTTCGGTCCTAATCCCTTGAGTTCCCTTCACATTGTGCATGTGGAAATTCTCTTACTTTTACTGTTAAACATAGCCCTGAGTGCTACTGTTGTTTTTCTTCCATTTGATTTCACAAAACGTTTAAGTGATCGCCGTTCAGGATCGTTCAGGATTTTTTTCCGTCCACATTTCTTCCTCGAAGACGATGAGTCCCCACTGTCCTTCTAGTTTTTAATTATGCGTTGGACAGTCTTTAACCCAACTTTAGTAGTTTCTGCAATCTCCTTAGATGTTTTCTCTGCTTGATACCAATGATTTGACCCTTCTCAAACAGACTGACATCTTTTCCACAACCACACGATGCGTCTTTCAACATGGTTGTTTAAGAAATGAGAAGCAACTCATTGCACCAGTTGGGGTTAAATAACTTGTTGCCAGCTGAAAGATAATCGCCCATGCAGTAATTATCCAATAGGACGCTCATACCTATTTGCTTAGTTAAATCCAGGTGGCGACTTTTTTTGGTCAGGCAGTGTAGAGACGAATGGAAGACGATAACTAAATAGCTAACTTTGTAGAATACAGACAGGTTAAAAACAAATCACACTGTGTCAAAAGCCAGGGAATAAAAGTGGGTTTTTAATCGAGACTTAAAAACAGTAAGAGAGGGAGCCTGCCTGACATGTAGTGGTCTCATTTCACAGTCTTGGAACTGCAACAGAAAAGGCCCCGTCATCTCTGAGCTTACGACGGGTTCCTGGAACCGAAAGAAGCATCGGATTCACTGACCTCTGTGGGGGTTGTGGCACATATGGCTGCAGCAGATCAGTGAGATAAGAGGGGGCAGAACTGTTCAGTGATTTAAAAACGTACAAAAGGATTTTGAGCTGAATTCGAAAGCGAACTGGGAGTCAGTGCAGGGAGGCCAAAACTGGTGTAATGTGCTCTCTTTAAAATGGGCAGCAACATTTTGGACCAGTTGTAGTCGTGCACTGGAGGTTTGACTGATTCCAAACAGAAGCGTGATATCATGAAGTATCATGACTTCAGAAGCGTACTTGGAATTTCAATCCAGATTTTAATTGGGACTTGATGGTTCCTTACTTTGTTCTTGATCCTAGACTTGATTTTTATTTATTCTTGTTAATTCCTGATGCGTTTGTTCAGTGCTTGAATGAAAGATTAATCAGTCTTGACATAAAGATGACACGGGACTTGTTGGTCTTGAATCTGGTCCTACTGGAGCTACATTTCAGACATTTTTATACTTGAATGGAAGATTATTTTGTGAGTCGACAGGTCTTGATGTGGGACTTGTTGATGGGTTCTTAAGACTTGATATGGGATCCAAGTTGGGCCTTATTGGTCTCAGTTTTAAACTTGTTGGTCTAGACTTTGGAGTTGAGTAGCTATTGGTCTGAATTTGGAACTTTGGGAGTTAAAAGTTGATTTAGAGAGCTGGGCTTTGAAAACAGGTTTTTGTAACTGAAGACTTGAAATGGACTCAGACCTTGTTGGTCTCCACTTGCCACTTTAATTATTACACTTTAGATCTACTGATTTTGTTTTAGAACTTGGTTCGGGGATGTTACTGTGGTCGTGACAGTATATACCGAACCTACTGAAGAGCCTGGCTTCAGTAAATATTCTTGACATCGGCTTTTTGTGACTTTCAGTTACGTTAAGACTCAACTTGTTACTTGTTTTGAACTTCATAAAGAACTTGTTTTGTGGACTTTTTTTACAGGACCTAATCTGGGACTTTGTTGTTGGTTCCAAAACTTATTTTACCTCAGATATCCTGGGATTCATTATTCTTGTCTTGGACCTTACTTTTGGACTTTATGTTGGACCTTTTGGTCTAATTTGATGGTCTTGACCTAGGTCCTGACTTTAGATCTAACCAAGTGCTGCCTTGGAACTTGATTTGAGATTTGAAGACGGGACCTTTTTCAGGAGTTGTTGGTCTTGACTCAGGACTCTTACCAATGCTGGCTTTACAGAAGCACCAACTTCATATTATTCCTCAGTATTTAGACGTTGGTACTGTGTATCCGGATGTCCTGTTGAGTTATTTTTACTATGGTAACTGATCTGTCAGACATGTATCACATTTCATGACGTACTGAAGTGTTTTTCTGTTTTTTTGCAGGAGCGCCGGCTACACATGTACATAGTTTACTGTCAGAACAAGCCCAGGTCAGAGTTCATCGTCATCGAGTATGAGACTTTTTTTGAGGTAAAGCAGCCCTACGTTTTGGTTCCCATGCTTTTAGATTTATTTTAGTTCTTTAAAATCTGTACTAAAATACTGATAATAAACATTGTAGTTTTCTATTATAGTTGATTTCCTTCTATTTTCATTGTAGATTATTGATCAGGTTATTTTATTGTTTCAAAGATGACTTTTGAATAGAATTTCATGCTGGAAGTGAGCAGTAAAACCATTTTCTTTTACTTTTAGGAAATCCAGCATGAGATCAGCTGTAGAATGTCCATCAGTGACTACCTGATCAAACCCATCCAGAGAATCACCAAGTACCAGCTGCTGCTCAAGGTGTGTGCAAACTTCAAGGATTATCATCTGTCCACAAAGTCTTTACAGTTTGATATTCTCTGTGAGATTTCACATTACAGTAGTCCTGGTTCGTTTTTCACCGACTTGGCTCTATCGCGGTTTTTCAAAGTAAGATTGTACATGACACACAATGGCTGACTGATGGATGAGCCGCACGATCGGCATGGAATTTTTATTTAAAATAAATGATTTAAAATGATTTAACACCTGCGTGCAGCCCACAGCTGCGGGAGAAGCTTCCTCCTGCAGCTGATCAGCTGATCTCTGCTCTGCACAGAGAGTGGAGAAGTGGGCGTGGCCGAGAGTGCAGCCGGAGGCAGAGAGCTGAGATCATGACATGCTGTGCTCTTTTAGAGCGTTTAGAAACATTGTTTAGAATATTGTAAAAGTGTGGGAAGGGTTTAAAACGCCTTCATATATATATATATATATATATACATATACATATACATATACATATACATATACATATACATATACATATATATACATATATATATACATATACATATATATATACATATATACATATATATATACATATATATATACATATATACATATATACATATATATATACATATATATATACATATATATATACATATATACATATATATATACATACATATATACATATATATATATACATATATACATATATACATATATATATACATATACATATATACATATATATATACATATACATATATACATATATATATACATATACATATATACATATATATACATATACATATATACATATATATATACATATACATATATATATACATATACATATATATATACATATATACATATATATATACATATATACATATATATATACATATATACATATATA